AGAAAGCATTGGATTGATTGAGATCAATAAGATTGATGATCTGAGCCACGGAGGTGGAGACAGCCACAGCAAGACCTGCACAGTGTGGGAGAAAAGGCAAGTAAAGTCACCTTTAAGTTTTAAGCTTGTAATCACCTAAAATCACCTTTAAGTGAGGCCAGTGACTGAATGCTGCATTTCAGCACTATAGTGTCATGAATACAAGCTTGCGTTCCTGACTCTATACAGTGTTCCTTATTTCTACAATGCATATTTCAGCCTGTGAAGATAGAAACGGTTGGATACTTTTAAGTGGCCTGAGCTCTAATCTTGCCTCTAGTACATAGTTAAGTAAGCATCCCCAGCAATAATTATAATGACCAGAAGCTGAATCATACCTTATCTACATAGAGGGGTAGTGATAGTGTTTGGAGGCAGAATATAGACAGATAATTGAAAACCACAACAATAACTGATTAACAAAATTTTTAATCCTTCATCTTTACATGTATGTAGGAGTTTCTGATCTCTGAATCATCTTTGGAGGTCAGTAGGTAGTTTCATTTATCTTTCACTAAGCGAGAGCCTCTGGGGCTGATCTGGTACATTCTGAATTATGGATATAGCACATGCCCGCAGGTAACAAAAGAGTGATGCCGGAGATGGGTTCTATAGTCTTTTAGTGTATCCCAAAAAAGATTCCTCCTTCTTGTGGGACTACCAGTGCCTGGTTTTCTTACACCTTTCAAGCAATTCTTTTATCACAAGATGTCTCTTTTGGCCGGGGCCCTGATGGCAAAACCTCGTACTGGGAGAAAGCATAGCTAGAACGTCGTCTTCCAGATCTCCATCTTATAACAGACCGTAGTACCACACTGTCTTTAATTTTAGGGGCCTGTAAGTAAAAAGAATTGTCATATCTTATTTATTGCAGATTAAGCAAGCTCTTTCTACAATGTTGTATCTAGGTTTCGAGCTTTGAAAGAAAAAAAGTCTCTCCCTTCTCCAGTTATGTACCAAGGAGGATAGATTAGAGACTAAAACTTTTACTAAGAAGACCAAACAAAAAATGATAGCCCCCTCCTTCCACAGTCATTCTTCCCCAGTCATGCCGAAAGATATGTTCATCCAAGGACTTCTTATTTCATTCTCCTTAACCTATGTGAATCTAGCATATTCCCTTGCTAGGAAACCAGGTCCCTCATGATGCTCTCTAAATAAATGAATAAAGCATTGGAGATAATTTATCAGAAGTTTTCATTCACTCCTGCTGTATGGGAGATACATGTTGTGAGATTGAGAAGGATAGAAGGTATTTAGATGTTGTGTGTGAGATGGATGCTTCCTGTACGGGTGTTGTATCAGGAACTGATGAAATACTATGTGGCTGATTCTTGATGGTGGTTTCTTCCATTTAAAGGGACACTATAGTCACCTGAACAACTTTAACTTAATGAAGCAGCTTTGGTGTATAGAACATGCCCCTGCAGCCTCACTGCTCAATCCTCTGCCATTTAGGAGTTAAATCCCTTTGTTTATGAACCTTAGTCACACCTCCCTGCATGTGACTTGCACAGCCTTCCATAAACACTTCCTGTAAAGAGAGCCTTATTTAGGCTTTCTTTATTGCAAGTTCTGTTTAATTAAGATTTTCTTATCCCCTGCTATGTTAATAGCTTGCTAGACCCTGCAAGAGCCTCCTGTATGTGATTAAAGTTCAATTTAGAGATTGAGATACAATTATTTAAGGTAAATTACATCTGTTTGAAAGTGAAACCAGTTTTTTTTCATGCAGGCTCTGTCAATCATAGCCAGGGGAGGTGTGGCTAGGGCTGCATAAACAGAAACAAAGTGATTTAACTCCTAAATGACAGTGAATTGAGCAGTGAAATTGCAGGGGAATGATCCATACACTAAAACTGCTTTATTTAGCTAAAGTAATTTAGGTGACTATAGTGTTCCTTTAAATTTGGGTATTAATATCACCACTGATTATTGTAAGTGAGGCATCTAGGTTTTAGTCCCGGCTTTTAGATTCCAACCAAATTTGCCAAGTCCTGCATTATAGTACATTCATAAAACAAACTTAGTGCATTTGATTATGTGCCTGCATTATCAGGGCCAATTCTGTAGATGAAGAAATGGGATTGTAGACATGGAGCTAGCATGTTACGTCTAAAGCAGCATAAAACAAGACTTTAGAGTTAAAATATGCTAGGAATTTGTAGTGAAGGAAGTGACAAATTAAGGTTTACGTCAGGGGGTAAATTTAAAAATGTAAACAAAAAGTTGCTGAATAGGAGTCCTTCCATATGTATTCCCTATTTTTTTTTTCTCAATTTGACAAAAATGTTTTTTCATGTGCAGAAAACAAAAAGAGGGGTACAAAAATAAAATGGGGAAGCGTTACAGGCATAGGTATAACGCATGTTACAACGTGTCACATAATTTTGCATAGACTCCCAGCAGGGTATTGTACTCTTGGTCGACACGTGTCATTGGGAGAGCGTCGCTGCATAACTTTGGTGTGATGTGCATTCACTATTCTAATGGTTATCAATATAAGGCACATTGTATATATGGCTGGTGTTAAATAATTTCTGGTGCTCATTTTTAGATCTATTATGACCCTGAAGTAAAGACTCAATGTTGTAGCCCTCAAACCTAAAAATGGATAAATTGAGATCTTTAAGTAAACTGGCGTGCTTGATATTATTATTATTATTTTTTTTATTTATATAGCGCCATCAGACTCCGTAGTGCTGTACAATGGGTGGACTAACAGACTAATAATATTCTTCACTGATTAACTCATAGTCTCCCCTCACCATTACCCAAGTTCAAGGCAATGGATATACTGTGGGCTTGGAGATCCCCAAGTCCATTAGCCCATATTTGAGAGGACCCTGTTATACATACCCTACTATTTACCAATATGTCAAGGTCAATCTGTCCCCAAACTCCCTGAGCCTCACATGCTAAACCCACTCCTCTAATATAGGACCAGAGGATGTTCTGTAGAAAACACCCCAAGCCTCAGGATCTGTGTAGGCAGTCTCTACTTCTGTCTGCTGGCTTTCAAGGGGAATTGGAGCCTTGATTGACAAATGGATGAGTATATCGGACAACCTATCTTGACATCCTGGAAGTCTTTATTTTTGGGAATAGATTCCCCCTGCTGTTTTAATTATGTCTCCAAGAAACATAATAAAAATAGAAAAACAATTTCCATGCACACGCCCTCAGTAGGCACACTACATGGGGACCAGTCTGCACAGGTGGTCATACAGAGGTTAATGTTCTTCCCACTCGGTTACCACCAACGATTAATGAGGACGTTTTCAGGTCAGGATGTTACATTGACTTGAACTAGAGCAAACAGATGTTAATATATATTTCTGCCATGGCCTTAACAAAATAAATATTTGGACACCATAACAGCATCATTGTTAAAGACAAAGCAAATGTGGAGGGGCAGAGAGAAACTGCACTAGAGAGGAGACCTTGCGAATAATTGAAACCCTAAAGTTAAACTAACGCCATGGACCTTCTGACTCCATAACTTAATTTCAATGAAGTTAAAGAAACCATATAACACTCCGTTGCTGTGGATTACCCTTGCCTGCTAGAGGTGTTGGGTATTTTTCCCCTGGGTCCCTGCACCCAAGATTCGCAATTGAGTGGATGGTTATTTGATTTGGTATTCAACTTTACAATCCATAGTGATCATAGTACATTTTGTTTCTGTTGTAAGAGAAGACTTGCGTAAGGGCGCTGATTAGTTTAAAAGATCAGATTTAAACTTACTGGTGTAGTCAAGTTGGAGGCCGTGAATTTGGCCCATGGTCGAAAGAATAGTGAAGGAATGATGCTTACAATAACAGCCAGGAGAATTAAGAGCCAAATATACCCACTTGAGATGGTATTAACAAAAGCACCTGTGAAGAAAAAAAAAAATCACTATAGTGATTGGAATACAAATCGGTACCCTATTTGCTGGTGTGCTTGAAAATACTCCCCCCCCCCCCACCCTACATTTGCCATTAAAAAAATAAAATAAAAAAAATAACAGAAAAACACTGCATCAATCTATCTTTGAATTGGAAATTATGGCGAAAATGAATACCCAGAAAGTTGAAGTCTGATGCAGAGTAAAGGAATGCTGCTGGCATTCCTGATACATATGAAAGCAGGAGATAAAAGCCAAACGATAATCCAAGGGAAATGAATGCAAACACAGACCAAGATGAGAATTGTATTGCAGCCTGTAAAAACAGAAAAATTATGGTGTTAAATAATGCACTGGGACAGGAATTCCAGTTGTCTAACTGGGAGCAGTCTGCCTTTGCATTTTCTGGTAGTAGAGACAGTTTATGGGATCCCTTTGCATTTTTACGGGCCGGGAGTCATAATGCAGTGCAGGAGAGCTAGGGAGTCCTGAAGCAGTTTCTGCTGCTAGAGAATGTAGAGACAGCAGGCACTCTTGCAGATCATCAGTGCCTGCCAGAATTGTTCTTGTTTTTTAATCCAATAACATTTTATTAAAATAAAATTTTCAGAATACAAAATATACAAAGTACATGCTTAAATATGTTATTTATATTGTTAAAATGTTCCTTTAAAACTTTAGATTCAGAGTCTTTTAAAAACATGAAAACCCCCCCAAAAATTATTAACAACTTTTTTCCAGTGTTGTTCCCAGCTTGTTGTGCCTCCTGTGAGATCATCATGCTGGTGATCTGCTCTTTAATCCAATGCTCCTCATACAGAGGTATTTGGGATCTACGAAGAATGCCGACAAATGCTATTCAGATGCTTCTCATGAGAGAAGCATTATCCCAATGCTTTTCATAAAGAATGATGAGGCTGAACTTGAAGACTGTCTACTTTCAAAAGAAATGCCTCTAGTTGCTGCCAGTTTGACAGACCGTTACTATAGGTGTATCACCATGCCATTTCTCTGACCTGATTTTCCAGTGGACTGTAGTATCTGAAGTCGACCAGCCAGGTAGACTATGCCA